GGGTCTCTTCTGGTTCCATACAAATTTTAGGATTGTTTGTTCCAGCTCTTTGAAAAATACCAGTGATTTGATCAGAATGGCATTGAAAGTATAGATTGCTCTAGGCAGTATGGACATTTTAACAATGTTTATTCTTCTGACCCATGAGCATGGAATGCTCTTCCATCTTTTTGTGTCTTCTTCAGTTTATTTCATTAGTGTTCTGTTGTTCCTCAAGTACAGATCCTTTACCTCTTTGGTTAGGTTTATTCCCAGGTATCTTATGGTTCTTGGTGCTATAGTAAATGGAATCAATTCTCTAATTTCCCTTTCTGTATTTTCATGGTTAGTGTATAAGAAAACAACTGATTTCTGTACATTGACTTTGTATCCTGCCACATTACTGAATTGCTGTATGAGTTCTAGTAGTTTGGCACTGGAGTCTTTTGGGTTTTCCATATAAAGTATCATGTCATCTGTGAAGAGAGAGAGTTTGACTTCTTCATTGCCAATTTGAATACTTCTTATTTCTCTTTGTTGTCTGAGTGCTGTTGCTAGGACTAATACTATGTTGAACAAGAGTGGTGAGAGTGGGCATCCTTGTAGTGTTCATGATCTCAACAGGAAGGCTGTGAGCTTTTTCCCATTGAGGATGATATTTGCTATGGGTTTTTCATAGATAGATTTTATGAAGTTGAGGAACCTTCCCTCTATCCCTATACTTTGAATTGTTTTAATCAGAAACAGATGCTATATCTTGTCAAATGCTTTTTCTGCATCAATTGAGAGGACCATGTGGTTATTCTCTCTTCTCTTATTGATTTGTTCTATCACATTGATTGATTTGTGAATGCTGAACCACCCCTGCATCCCATGGATAAATCCCACCTTGCCATGGTGGATAATCTTTCTAATGTACCATTGTTTCCTATTAGCTAGGATCTTGTTAAGAATCTTAGCATCCGTATTCATCAAGGATATTGGTCTGAAATTCTCCTTTTTGGTGGGGTCTTTGCCTGGTTTGGGGATCAGGGTAATGCTTGCTTCATAAAAAGAGTCTGGAAGTTTTCCTTCAGCTTGAATTTTTTGAAACAGCTTCAGGAGAGTAGGTATTATTTCTTCTTTGAATGTGTGGTAGAATTCCCCAGGGAATCCATCAGGTCCTGGGATGTTGTTTTTGGGAGGTTTTTGATCACTGCTTCAATCTCATTACTAGATATTGGTCTATTCAGGTTGTCAATTTCTTCCTGATTCAGTTTTGGAAGTTTATAGGTTTCCAGGAATGCATCCATTTCATCTAGGTTGCTTAACTTATTGGCATATAATTGTTGATAATAATTTCTGATGATTGAAAAAATTTCTGATGATTGTTTCTATTTCCTTGGTGTTAGTCGTGATCTCTCCCTTTTCATTCATAATTTTATTAATTTGGGTCCTCTCTTTTTTCTTTTGGATTAGTTTGGCCAGTGGTTTATCAATCTTACTGATTTTTTCAAAAAACCAGTTTCTAGTTTCAATGATGCATTCTATTATATCTCTAGTTCCTATCTCATTGATCTCTGCTCTAATCTTGATTATGAATTCTGGAACACTGAAAAGAAATTTAAAAAAAATAAAAATTTTTAAAAATAGAATAAGAAAATGAATTTCTAAATTTAACTTTGAAAGACTAATGATCATGGAGAAAAACCATGAATTCTATGTGTTGCTTTCCCCTACCTCTGGAGTTCTGCAGTTTTCACTGATTGGTGAACTTGGCTGGATGTTCTTACTGATCTGCTGGGGGAGGGACCTGTTGCAGTAATTCTCAAATGTCTTTGCCCCAGGCGGAATTGCACTGCCCTTGCCAGGGGCCAGGCTAAGCAATCTGTTCAGGATCGCTCTTGGAGCTTTTGTTCCCCAAACGCTTTCCATAGAGCTTTGGAGGATGGGAATGAAGTTGATGGCCTCCCAATCTCTGGCCCATAGTAGCTGAGGGCTTGGGGGCCCGCTCCTTAGTGCACCCTCAGAGAAAAGTAGTCAATCCCTCCCATCTCCCTGGTCTCCGGCCACACTCCAAGTTCATCCAGCCTGTGACCAAGCGTTTTCATCTCTGGTGCCTGGTCCCATTTGGAGTCTTCAAACCCAGCAGATTCCTGCCACATGCTCCCACACCACTCCTTCCAGAGGAGGAAGGAGAGTCTCCCCGGATCTGCCCCTTGTGGGGTCCCTGCTCAAAGAGTAGTGGCCCAGCGATGCCCCAGATCATGGTTGAAGGTAACCCTGAGTTGAGAGCCCAATGCTTCACTCTGTCTCTGCTGCCGGCTTGCCCGCTCTGATACCTGGGAGCTTTGCCAAACTCAAACATCCCCAGTCTATCTGTGATCCCACGGGTCCTGAGACACACTGTCGCCACAAGAGCTCCACCTCCTGCTTTGTCTCTGGGGTGATGTCCCTCAGTGGAGCAGACTTCTTAAAGTTCCGATTTTATGCTCCCCTGCCTTACCACTTGCCAGGAGCCAGCCCTTCCCTCTGCAGTCTCTCTTCCCAAATATTGCCTCAGATTCACTTCTCTGCGTGTCCTGTTTTCCAGAAAGTGGTTGCTTTTCTGTTCTTAGAATTGCTGCTCTTCTTCTCTTTGATCTCCTGTTGAGTTTGTAGGTGTTCAGAATGGTTTGATAACTATCTAGCTGAACTCCTGGGACCTGATATTTAGGTTTCTTACTCCTCCGCTCCTACCCCCCTCTTGCACCTACCCCCTGTACTAATGTGTTTATACAATAGATGATACCCAAAAAGAGATTGTACACACGTTTTATAATATTTTTCACTTAGCAATGTATTGTAAATGCCTTTTCTTGTTGTTAACTGTGGACTAAAATAATCTCTTTTAGCAGGATTTCATTGAGTGATGAACCACAGTTTAGATAACCAATCCCCTATTGTATATTTTGTTAGGTTTTGATAATTTATTATAGTCAGCATTTTGGAAAGAATATCCCCGCTGCATATGTTTTTGTGCACTCATCTGATATTTCTGTAGAATCAGGTAGTAAGATGCATTTTAGAATCTTACAGTCTGGTCAGAGAGCCCAAGCACATAGGTGTGAAAAGGAAAACAAGTTCATAGAGTAGGGGAGGGATGGCTAAATTAGTGCAACAACCAAGAGTCAGAGGCCAGAAAGATCATTTCATGCTTGGGTTGCTACAGAAGGCTTCATGAAGGACACCTGTGAGTGACAGAAACTCCATTCGAGTCATCTTAAGTGTAAAAGGCATATTATCGGCTCATGAAATTGGAAGGCTGACTTTGGCTTCAGACTGAGCTGGGTCCAGAGTTCATGAGGTGTCGTTGAGCACCTGTGTGTGTGTGTGTGTGTGTGTGTGTGTGTATCTGTCTGTCGTTGTGAATGTGTATGTCTGTATGTGTGTATCTGTGTGTGGATATGTCTGTCTGTCCCATCTCTTTGATGGTCTTCTTACTACATGAACTGCATTCTTGGGCAAGCTCTCTCTACACACCAACTGCCTCCAGCATCTCCAAACTTGAGTGGTATTTATATCTCATAAGGAGAGAGCCCCTCTCTCCCAGTTTCTCTGTCAATCCCTCCTTGGCCCCTTGCAGACCTTTTGCCCACCACCACTGTGTGACACAGAATGGGGTGTCCTGGCAGCTAGCCTGGGTCTTGTGCCTGCACCCTGTGCAGAGAGAGGCTGAGAGTGTGTGATTAAGGTCTGTCTGGTGGAGCAGTTCTCAAAAGGAAAAGATGTTGAGAGATGAAAACATGAAAGCGATGTCATTGCAGAGGATGCTGAACTTAAAGGATGAGCCGCTATACCCATTTGATGTTTTAGGTGTCAAGTAACAGGAAAACTCCAAATCAGACTGGTCTGCTGAATGCCCTGTTACGAAGTCCAGAGGCAGGCATGCTCCAGCCTGATATGCTCAATGGCTTGGTGATGCCGTTAAGTTACTCAGAGTCAGCTTCATCTTATATCCCATTTCCCTCAACATGGCTGCTAGGAGCAGTCAGGACTCCTAGCTTCCTTGTCTGTAACCAGTGCTGGAGGTTGGGAAATGGCACCCACTGGCAAGGACTCTAAGACATTTCCTGCCATGTCATTGGACCAGTCCAGATCATGTGTCCACCCTTGAACCACCAGCCATCAGTGGGAAACACTGTACCCTATTGCCCAGTCAGTATCTATTCTGGGAGGAAAGGGTGGGGTCACCTTCCCAGGGGATATGGTGGATATTGGGATGAAACTGGGGCCCCATTGGGATGGAGTGGAAGACGATGCTAGCTGGTCAACCAACAATGGAATCCAAATAAGATTTTACTAATTAGAGAAGTAACCTGAGTTAAACAGGTAGAGAGGTAAGTTATGGCCAAACCGTAGACTTCAGGGTTTTTCCTAGTCAGAGCTGACAAGAAGCAAGATTGCAGAGTCTGTCCTGCAGGGAACAGCACAGTGAACAGCCTCAGTTGAAGTGTTTGTTAATTTATTCCTTCATTGCATACATATTTATTGAACACCCTAATATGCACTGTGCCCAGTGCTAGGGATAAATAAGATAGACAAAGTTCACATCCTCTTGGACTTCTAGTGAGGAAGATGGAGAACATACAAATTAATATGTCAAAGAAAACAAGTCAGGATAAGGTGGATAGAGAGAAATGGGAGGGAGGGGAGTCCAAGGACCCTTGCTTAAGTTGACATTGAACCAGGGACTCGAAGGACATGATGGAGTAAGCCAAGGTCATCTGAGGGAAGCATGATTTGAGCAGAGGGAACAGTAGGTGCAAAGTCCCTGAGGCAGGCATCTATAGTCTGTTTGGTGGACAAGGGGAGAGTGGTAGATGATGAGGTCAGAGATGACGGGTGAGATCGCAGAGGGCCTCCCAGGCGATGCAGTCTTTGTACTTTACCATGTTGCATCCATGATGTTGGAGGGTGTTATTGAAGCAGAGGGTAGACAGACCCTCACCCTATGGCTCTGCCTTGGCTCTGACTTCAACATCTTCTTTCTTCTCTTCCAGGCCATGTACATGTTCTACGCGCTGGCCATTGTGTGTGACGACTTCTTTGTCCCCTCCTTGGAAAAGATTTGTGAGGTACGTGCCTTATATTCTCAGCATGTCTGGGCAGGTGATGCAACTATGCTGCCCCAGCACCCTTCACTGAGGACCTGAGGAGCCCTCCATGCCACTGGGCGGGAGCACCAGGCATCAGCATCCTTCTGAGTGACCAGCAAAATTAGCACAAAAGCTTCATTGGTCCGTTTAGAATGTCAGGGTACTGACCCATAGTTGGGCTTTCACCCCTATGGCCTGCTCTCCCTGCTCCATTCGGCAATTCGTGGTGCTCTTTGTGTCCTATTTCCTTGTTCTCTTTTCCTCTTTTAAATCCTGCTTTCTCCCTTTGTGTTCCTCATCTTCCCCTCCTCTGTTTCCTTCTGCATCTGTGACCTCCCTCGTGGGGTCCTCACCGAGCAGGAGGTCTTCAGCCACACGCCTCCACTGCCCTGCCCCTCTGTACACGTGCAGAAATGCTCTAAGCAGAGGCCCAAGAAGGAAGATGATCAAAGAACTGACCACAGAGAACAGGAAAGGGACTCTGTTCTCACTCAGCCCGGGAATGCCAGGTTGAAGACCAAATGACAGCCCTTTCATCAGAAAATATTCAGCGTATTTAGAACACTTTCATTCTCTTGCCTCTTTCATCTCCGTCTGTTTTGAAATGTAGTTTCCTTTATCTGGAAGCTTTCCACTTTATTTTATTTTTAATTCAGAATCCTGTTTTCCGAAAGCCTCTCTCCCAGACACGCCTCCCATCTGGGACTCATGATCTTCATGTAGTTCTCAGACTTGGTCATCCTTCCCTTTCCCTCCCCCTCACCCAACCCCTGATTGTCTGAGTCACTGGGGGGAAGCAGAGGACCCAAATTGCATTGCTGTGAAGTGTCCAGATGATGCTGGGGCTCTTGGTCCACAAACCTCACTTAGAGATCACTCACTTAAACAGTTTCTTCTACATCCTGGAAATCTGCTTGGTTTTTGCACTTTAAAAATGAATGGATGGATGGATGGATGGATGGATGGATGGATGGATGGTTGGATGGGAGAGAATCGGGCCTCAGGAGCCCTGGAGGGTCTCAGGAGGATCTTCCTTTATTGGGTGGAAGGAGAAGGAGAATAATGAGGTGGCATCTGAGATGGATAGTGGGCACACGTGGGAGCTTTTTGTCCCAAGCAACGTCTCCTGAGCACAGGGTCACCTTATAGGGCAGGAGAGGAGGTGCTGAGGCACCCATAACTGGGGTCATTTGTGATCTTGGAAATACCACCACTTGGTGTTCTATTCATTATGCAAAACAAACTACTCTCTTTCCCACACAACTTTTTTTTATAGCCAACTTATGACCCTGCTCTAGACATGTATGTAGTCTTGTCAGGAAGTATTCTGCTCCATAGGGGAAATCCATAGCACCTGTGAGCACACCCCCTTGGGGAGGAAAAGGGATGAGATAGAGCATGGTCCTTGACATCTATAGGCCTTAGGACACATAGCCACTCTCTGGGGTGAGGCACACAGGGCTGGATGAAGTTCTGGGAAGTTGGAAAGTAGAGAGAGGAAAAGGGAGGGAGATCTGGATGGGGGGCGGGGATGGTTAGGGAAGGGCTTGTGCAGGACAGGATGGGAGCAGCCCTTGGAGGCATTTTTCACATTTCAAGACAACACATTTCAAGGAAAGGTATTTGTGCTGAGAAGAGTCTGAGCTCTGGGACGAAGGGAGGAGAACCCAGGACTGGAATCCGCCTCTGGGGTAGGGACATCAGGGTTACCGGCACTCAGGAGGGAGCTAGGAAGGCTCTTAACAACTATGTTCTTGTAGATAGAGGTGTCCAGAGGCAGGAAGACCCTCTCCTTCCCCCAGCTGGTAATTCGGAGCATCCAGCAAGATGTTACCAGAGCCCAAGTGAATTAGGGATGAGAGAGGAAGGGAGGTAAGGAAACATGGGAGAAGAAGCAGACTTCAGGGTTTGAAGGAGAGAGAGAGGAACTGGAGATGAGCTCAGGGTGTGGACTCTGTGTCTCATGCCCATTAGGGACCCTGAGCTGGAACAGACACAGCAGTCCTGGGCTCCCAGCTCCTGGCAAGTCTTGATGGACCACCAAGGAATGTGAGCTCTGTGTTAGGTCACCTTCAGGGACTCCCTGTCCAGGGTCTCACCTGCACCCCTCACAGCCACACCTTTCAACTGGAGGTATCAGCACCTCTTAGAGTCTTCTCAGAACCACATGTGAAATTGAGCTGTTCAGTCCAGAGTGAGGGATCCCCCGGACTCCAGATCTAAGTGCTCCATTAGGGCTCCCACAGCAGCCCATTGCTGGTCCATGGAGTCAGGGGCCTACGCCGAGGCCATGCTGCCCCTCCATGGCCGAGCAAGGAAGTGCAGCTGATCATGCAATGGGAAGAGGGACTGTGTCATTCAAGACTAGTCTCTCCTGGCTGGGACCCAGCAGGAAACCCGCTAGTTACTGACAGCGGGGGCAGCGTATGTTCTGAGTCCTGACTGAATGCAGGACGGCTAAACACACTAACCTGCCTCAGATACCTGTATATTTGTCTCATCTTCTTGTAGATCACGTTTTGGATTTACAGACAGGGTAACTCGGGAGGATTCATTGTATAGAACATCTTGGACGGCTCCACATCCTTTCCACTCAGTCTTAGTCTCACTGCTCCCCCACCCCATTCTCCCAAAAGGGGGTTCAAAACTGCATTAGTGATGAGCAGGTTTCAGGAGGGTGACCCCTCCACCCCCAAAGCCACTATAACCTCCTAGAATCCAGACTTGCAAACTGATTACCGGGAGCCTCATTTAGCCTGTGATAGGCATTTAGACATACCTAAATATGCCCTTAGGCATATCTAAAGAATTACTGGGGAAAAAATAAAAAATGTTTTGCCTAAAAATGTGGATTTGGACATCCCTTAAGAAGTAAGGCTATTTGACAACATGGAGGAAGTGAGTGGCATACCTTTAGAAAGGTGGTGGACCCCCACCATGCCTCACACTAGCCCATCCTCCCCCTCCCCCCCCCCATTATCTGCACACCACCTGGGGCTCCTGGGTTGGGGATTCCTAGATCTTGTCAAGAACCTTTAACTCACAGAGCTATGGAGCCCCTCCCTCATCCTGACCCTGAGGAGGATGGCCAGGGGAGCTGTGTCCCAGCAGGGGATGGTGCAAGAAAGATCCAGCTGTGGGAGGGGGATGGTTCTGGGAGGCCCCGAGCTCGGGACTTCAGGAGTCATGATCACCTTTGTTCTCAGGGGAGTCCCAACTCACCTGTGCTTTGTCCTTGCTCCTCTGTAGCGCCTGCACCTCAGTGAAGATGTGGCTGGGGCCACGTTCATGGCAGCAGGCAGTTCGGCCCCAGAGCTGTTCACATCCGTCATAGGTAGGTGATGACCTGGGAACATCTCTCAGCCCTGCCCTCTCTTAAGGACAAGGGCTGTGGGGACAGACAGCCTTGCAGTGGGTTGGCGAATAGGAAATGAGACTCTTGAGACCCCAAGGAGCAGAACACCCGTCTTCCCGCCCCACTGTGGTTGCTGTCATTCTTTTACTTAAATGACACTTTCACTTTGCACAAGCATGTCCCAGTTCCTGTGCCAGTGCCCCCACGGAACAATAGCCCCAGTGCAGATTTTAAAACTTTCTCCCATCCTCAGCCATTTTCCCGTGGACCCTGAGAAAGGTCTAGCTAATACTTGTGAAAACTTCCCCACACTTGCATGAGGGTAACTGGCCACAACAACCAGGCTGACGTCAGGTCTGTTTCAGGGGTCTTCATCACCAAGGGCGACGTGGGAGTCGGGACCATCGTGGGCTCTGCAGTGTTTAATATCCTGTGCATCATCGGTGTCTGCGGGCTCTTTGCTGGGCAGGTGAGGCCGGCAGTGGGACGTGGCATGGGGTCAGAGGGGACAGCGTGGAGGTGGGGCATGGGGGCCGGTGGCCTCGGGCAGCAGTGACATGGGATCTCACACCCCAGGAGGCTGCCCAACTGGGACTGGAAACTGTCAGGCACCATTGTTTGGTCTCCATGCTGATGGCTTACGGAACACCTGGGTCCACATAAATAACTGACCAGCCTGAAGGTACAGGCTACAGATCTGAAGGTGTCTAGCTCATTTTGAATGTCATGATCTGGACTGGAATGACCTAAAACAATTTAAGGTATGGCTTTTCCTCACTGGCGATAAAGGAAGTGAGGGAGAGAGAGACGGAGGAAACGACGGATTTTCCTTTTCTGCTAAAAACCATTTGCTGCCGTCACAGCATACGATGGTTTTCTGGGACAGCCATCAAGCCATTTATTTTTGTGGTTACTTTAGCTTCATTCTGGGATCCTGAGGGGCTTTGCATGCCTGTGTTTTGTCTCTGGAGGCTGTTGTACTTCCAGGGACTGTCACGGGGTCTGGTGTCTGTTTTGGAAAGCCTTAGGAAGACACCCAGAAGTCACCTAAGTGCAAGGCTCACTGGTGGCCCCAAGCAATGCTGAGGCACCCGTGTGTTTGCCAGCTCTGATGTCCTAATCCTCTCATGGGAGCTTTGATCCTGAGCTCTCCCCAGACACCCGGGCTTGAAGATCTTCTAGGAAAAGCACCTTCTAGAAGCCCATTTATGGCACTCCCCTTGCTTTATTGAGGAGCTTGGTGATCCTAACCAATTCCCTCACTGTGAGGACACAGGGTCCTGCTAGAGGTGGTTAGCTGGTCTGAAGGTGAAAGAAAGTGCCTTTGAACCTTCTTCCACACCCTTTTCTGCGCCCCTGTGCTGTCCAGTAAGCCGGCCAGGGGTACCCATCCTGCCTGTCTCTCTAATACAGACTGGAGAGTCTGCAGGAGACACCTGGAATACCGTTGCAGTTCTCCACTACTCATTTCTCACTGCCATCACTTTATGCCCGTCAATTTGTTCAGATTGCCTGATGGGTTGGCTGCTTGTGGGTAACAGGCAGAGGGACACTTCGATGTCACCAGGAATGGGCTCCAGAGCCCGCTGGCATGTCCATACACGATGATTGAGTTCTGCCCAACTTGCTAGACTGACATTTTCTTTTTTCTCAACATTTTGACCCATCATCTCTAGTCTTAGGTTGTATGGACCCACAATGTGGGGTTTTTTTAGACTTATAAATATAGTTAGTTCCCCCCCAAACCCAAAAACCAAAAAACAAGTCTCTGTCTTTGCCTCTGGTGCCATTTGTGCTTGCGTGGATCTCATCTTGTCGGCTGTCTTCTTGTTGCCTTGTGGAGATGAATAGTCACATCCTCAGAAGAGGCTGTTGCCGTTCACACTCTCTTAATTAGCACTGTCACCATTAGCAGTATGATTATTAACCTGGCCGTTATTCTCATTGTCATTAGTGCATTAGTCATTTGTACCTGCAGCGTGATGGAAAGGCGAGCCCAAAGGGGGAGAAGCCACGTAAAGAAATGAAACAAATGACTGGGAGGTACATAGAAAATGCCAGGCAACTAATTACATATGAAGTGGTTTGCATTCATTTGTATTCATAATTTATTAACAATGTGGTTAATCACTGGCTTGGTTAGAACACCAGCTTAAAAGGCAGATTGCTTCCTGAACTTCAGCACGTGCTGGTCTCGGTCACTTTCCTCCCTCTGGAAGGTCTTTGCAAGCAGAGAGAAGTAGCCGTCACTATGTTGTGAGAAGTCGCCTGTGTGATGATTCTGGTTGCCAGCACTTCCTTCTGTTTCTCCTTGTCTTGTGCCCACTTGGAGATGGCTAAGGCCATCCACCTCTCTTCTTCCAGCAGTTTGTAGAATCCCGGAAGTCTTTGCAGAGGGAGGAAAATTATGTTTCAGAAAGAACATGGATCCGGGACTCAGACTGGCCTGGGTTTGAATCCCGACTGGTTTGAATCCCGACTTTGCCCTTTGCTGGCCATGAAATCCTGGAGAAGTGACTTTATCGCTCCTCTGAGCCTGTTTACAAATCTATGGAGCAGGTGGCTCTAAGCCTACCTACCACCTAGCATCGCCATACAGGTGAAACAGAACAGGTTCAGCATTAAGCAGCAGCCAGCCCACCCGGTAAATACTCAATAGAAGATGCCACCATCGGCTCGCAGAAGAGTAACAATCCCTGGGGTCCTCACCTCCAAATCCCACCACAAGTCACTGTGATCCTTTGGCCAAGAAGTTGGTGGACTCTACTAACTAGTGGAACATCCACGGGGTGCCAGGTGGGGAAGGAAGGGAAGGTCAGGAAGAAGTTCTTCTAAATGAAAATCAAAATGAGAAGATGCAGATAGAAGGGCGGTCTCAGAAGACCAGGCTTTGCCTCCATGCTGTCTCATCATTGAGAGGGAAAGGAAAAATGGGTGAGAAATGAATCCTGCCTTACACCCGGAGAAGCATTCCCAGGTGGTGGGCCAATGCTGTGGAACACCGCAGCAAGGGATGGATACTGGGAATTGAACTGATTAATAAATCCAATCATGGGTCTTACTTAGCATGGTTATTTATGTGGCCCCACACTTTCATTTGGCTGGGAGAATTCCCTGAGAGTGCCCGCAGGCCTCTTTCTAATGTATTCTGGCCTGAAGGGCTGCTCATGACCAGGTCTGTTACTCATCTGAAATCAAAGTAATTAAGCAGTAAGCTTTGAGTTCCTGTCTCAATTAGGGTTCTGATGAATTCGATGTAATTAAATGTCTGCCGTATTTGCAGTTTGCAAACATACCCAGCGCTCTGGTGTTCGCCTAAGGTGCTTTGGGGAGTTTTATGGGACAAGAAGAAAATTGCTTCTTAGAAAGTGGCTTTTAGAGCAGTCCTTGGCATCCCCACAAGACATGTACAGGGCTGTAGTCCTACAAGCGCTTTATTTAAAAACAAAAAATAGTAAGAGAGAGAACACCAAGCTCTCGGTACAACATACTAATATATTTTGCATATTGTGTGGCAAGAACTTCATGCCAATTTTGTGAAACAATGTACTTATGAATTTAAGTCCACCATCCAGCACATGTTAGGCTTTAAAGACACAAGCACAAAGAGAAAGTAAACCGTTTAAGTGCATCCCAGATTAAGATGTTCATATTCCAGTTATTACAGGCTGGCAGATGGCTCCAGTTTATAATAAAGAACTCCAGCATCAGCTCTCCTGGCATTCTCGAAATGGGCCTGATGATCCCTGGCAAGGTGCATCTAAGCTTGGCTGACTTCATCTTTCTCCAAATGACACCCTATCCATGTTGGCCCCTTTACACAAACCAAAGTAGCACCCAGAGGTTGCACATCTGAACTGAAACCTGTCTTCAGTTGGATTTCCACAGGAGAGTCTAAGCAAACAAGTCTAAGCAACTACGACAGGTAGTTGATCTGGAAGGTGATCCCAGGACATGCCAGGGAGGGAGTCAGTGAGGCCAGGAAGAGAAACTAGCCAAGGAAAGTGTGCTTATTAGTAAGTAAGTTACCCCTATGGGCAGCTGAGATTTACTTCTTCTGGGGGAATGAGAGACTATCTAGAATACAGGTTTCTAAGGTATCCAACCCAAGGGAAAGGGAGTTGGGGTGCGTATCCACCAGGCTCCACCAGTTGTTGGTAAGGACTGCTCCTGCTGGACATGGGCAGGACTGACTTTTGGAGAAAACACCCAAGCTAAAAGACATAGAGCCTGGGCCTTGGAAGGACCTGAAATGGTAAAGGTAGGAAGACAGGAGTGCAGCCCATAAAGCATTTGCTAGAAACTCAACTAAGCCTTTAAAAATAAGCTACCTATGTGGTCTCATTTTCACCTCTCCTGGATGAAACACAAGCTTCATAACTAAGCTGGCTATTAAGAATTCAGGGCCAAGACATCTTGCGTTAGGAAGTTTCCTCTAGTGCTAAAAATAACAGCTACCATTCCAGGCACTCACTGCTTCCAGTTAGGACACAGAAGACCTCGGCTCCCATGGGGACACCAAAAACCAATCTAGAGAATATAAAAATCATACTCGTATATGAGACCATCAGAGAAGAGATGAGGTAGGAGAGACTTGATGAACTAGCTTCCAGAGAGAGGAGCCCTCTGTCAGTGAGCTGAGACCTGGCAGGTCTGGTTGCAGGGAGAGCAGAAGGCTATGAAGATCCAGAACTGTGCAGGGTAGAGATGAAGCCGGGTGAGATACTGGCGGTGCTGGAGATAGCTGGGAGGTCCTGGTGTCTGAAAGACTATCACATACACTAATAATTTTTTCAACAGAGGAGAGTAGTCCTTTCCACCCCTCCCCAAACTTGTCTGGAAAAACATAAGTGAGGTAGGACCGAGAAGCAGAAAGAGATCATTTCATCTGTGCCATCTCTCATGTCCTCCCAGTCCCCAAAATCGAGGAATCCAAAATCCAACCCTTGGTACTAGGAGACTAGCCCTTCCTACAGAAGCTGGGTGGGTGAGGTGGGGCTGACCACAGGTGACCCACCATTCACTCCCAGTCAAATGAACACTTCCTGAAACATGAATAATCACTCCCTCGCTTTAGCCAGCGAATGAAAGCGGAACTTGACATTTGTTGGGGGTGTGGCGGAAGAATCAGTATTATTCTTCAATTCTCAATTTTCTTCTGTATATAATTTCCAGGATGCAATAATAAAATCCAAAACCTGTGAGGAGGCGGGAACAGGACTCATAACCAAGGGAAAGCAGCAGCAGAGGCAAACCACAGATGATCCAGATACAAGAATTAGCGGAAAAGAATTCAAAATATCTATCTTAAATAGGGACAGATGGGAAAAATAAATGAATGGTTGGGGAATTTCAGCAGAGAAATGGAAAAAATAAGAAAAACCAGATTGAATTATATATATACAATTATATATTATGTAATATATTATATATATTATAATATATATTGTATAATATTATATATTATAT